AAGAGATATAAAGTTATTTTAGAATCTGGTAAAATCTCTTTCTAACCAGCTGTTTCCCCCTACGAAAGACAACCCTCAAAAGTTGAAACTTGTGTGAACTGAGCATTAACGAGGACCTACCCTTTAACGTGCGATTCCCCAGCAGAGGTTGAGTTGATTAAACACGGTTTTTAGACTGTGACAATAATATACATAATCAGCATAATAACAAATTCTCCGTCAAAGTTCAGTGCCTGAGCACATTCTAAAGATAATGGTGCTTATTAATAGAAGTGACCTGGCGGTTATTAAACGTTGGTGCACATTCTCAAAGAAGCAGTGAAAATAGATTTGGTGATATCTATAGAAAGCCCTTGTGTTCAAGCTAACAAGTATGCACACATTCATATTTATTGTGTACTTATTGTCCAATAAATAATTTGTATCATTAATAAAAAAAAAACAGGAGGACTTTCAGTTTGTGTCTGAGTTACTTCTTTGCATGATCTACACATCCATGTATAGTGTTACTTATTTTCAAATTGATTATTTCATTCCTTTCTTTGGAAGATTCCCTCATTTTTTTTTGTATCAAGATGGAGTAGTAGAAAGCCAAAAACTTTCTTTCCAATAAAAAACAGTTTCTTTCTGGAAACTATCAAAACATGTGTTTGTGAAAAATATAACTTATGTGATTCTGCCCAAACAGTAGTCTTAAAAAAAAATGAACCCAATCAAAGATTGGAATTTGAAAACATTACTGAGAAATTTGCATTTACTTCTAAAATATCATAAATGAATTGACGACTGAGTTGATGAATTATTTCTATTCATGTTTGGAAAGTTCAAAGTGGAGAAGTTGATAATTATATACACTTACATCAACACTGTCTGATTCTATCCATCCTTTTATCAATATATAAATATGCTTTATTGTCTTAAGGGCAACTTGTTGACAAAGCTTGAGCAATAGGACAATTCATATAACTTATTAATATAAGTAAAATCGCAAGTCATAGTAGATAATAAAGAAATTTCGTTTAACTAGTAAAATACAAACATAAGCTTAAGCAATAAGGACAATTAAATATAACTAATCAATATAAATAAAAATCAAGTTAAAAAGATAATAAAAAAAAAATTAGCGAATAAACTTAAAAAATAATCAAGTTATAATATAACTTTTCGTCTAAAATCCGTGATACATGGTCATACCATAACATATACAATAAACATGCTAAAAGGTGTCTACACAGTATTCTTGTAGACTGTAATAGGGCTTATCTACTAAAAAATTCTTTACAGCCTTTCTAAAACGCTTGCCTGTCAAATTAGAGGACCTTACATCGACTGGCAGATGATTGTAAATTTTAGCACCATTGTAAAATATTGAATCTTTGACTGAGTTAGAGGTGGGAATTGGGAGCCTGAGACTAAACTCCGTATTTCGAATTGAATAGGGTAAAGTCGCTACATTATATTTTGATTTGTGTTTATTCACCATACTGTCTCCAAGATGAGAAGTGCAATGACAGTTAATATTTGATTATTAATAAAGAGTTCTCTGCAAGAGTCTCTTGGTTTTACCTTACAGAGGTATCTTACAGCTCTTTTCTGAATAATCAATATAGAAGACAAGAGGGTTGGACAACATGCTCCCCAAAAAGGTATCCCATATCGAATTTGGGAGTCAATTAATGCATACTAGGCCGTTTTTGCAGTACTAAAATTCAACTCCTTAGAAACTACCCTCACTGCATAACACCCATAGGAAATTTTACTTCTGAGCTGTCGGACGTGTTCATCAAACTTAAACCTATGATCAATCAATACACCCAAAAAATTTGAATGATATTATATTTGTTTTAGTAACATTCAGAGAAAGCAAATTAGCGTCACACCACATTTTAATTTTTTCCAAGTCAGAAGTTATTATTTTATGTAGTTCGATTTCATTTTTCTCTTTCCACAAGATGGTGGTGTCATCCGCGAAAAGTGTAAAGCTGCCCGATATGTTGATCTTCGTCCAATCATTTACATATAATAGAAAGAGAACTGGTCCCAGCACGGATCCCTGTGGTACACCACTATCGATTGCCCTTCTTTCTGAGATTTATGTTGTTCGGACCATTTGATCTCGTCCTGTGAGATATGATTCAAACCATTGATAAGTTGTGCCCTTGAACCCATAACGGTTGAGTTTTCTAAGCAGTATATTGTGATTAACGAAGTCGAATGCTTTAGAGAGATCGAAGAAAACTGCTGCGGCTGCATCACCAGCATTTATTTCTGAATAAAGATCGTACAGAAAAGAAAAAATTGCATCATGAGTGCTATTTCTGATCTGGAACCCAAATTGATCTTTACTTATGATATGATTAAAAACAAGAAATCATTCATTCGAATCTTAACTAGTTTTTCAATGGCTTTCGATATCGTTGGTATTAGAGAAATAGGGCGAATATTAGAGGGATTATCTAAATCTTCTCCTTTATGAAGAGGGATAACTACCGAAGTTTTCAAACAAGAGGGAAAGAGACCAGTTCTAAATGAAGAGTTGATAAGAGCTACCAACGTCTCTAAGGCTTCGATAGGAAAATTCAAGATTATTTGTGCTGAAATTTCATCATATCCAGCAGCACTTTTGTTTCTAATATCTTTCAGAGTTTCAATTATTTCACAAAGACTGGTGTCATATAATATAAGCATATCATTTATTACAATACTATCTAGATCAGTGGTCGCCAACCTCTTCAATATGTTGAGCTACTTTGTTAATTTTGGAATAAACAGCGAGCTACCCGTGTGGGTAGCTCCGTGTGGAAGCCACGTAACGCAACGTAAAACTAATATTACTAGTACGTACTTGTTCATAGCTACATTCCTACCTATAAAACGAAGGTGTTTGAAAAATAAACACAAACTTTTATCCAGCCACAACGGCATGTCACGTATGATTTGAAAATAGTTTATAATAACAACAAAAAAGTAACGCACTATCATGAACATAAACATTGAAAAATAAAAAAGCACGTTCAATGAGAAGGCGGACACTCAGACTCATCGATAATTTTTTTTAATGTTTGCAGTATGATTTGATGCAGTCATTCGAATACAATTATCCAAATGTTCATCTGTAAGTCGATTGCGATATTTTTCTTAATGAACTTCATATTGGAAAAAGAAGATTCACACAAATAGGTTGAACTGAATAATGCTTTCACTTTCAAGGCAACACGGCATAGAACTGAATATTTGTCTTTACTTACAATAGGCCAGATACATTCAGTACTTGAGACTAACGATTTTAAGG